ATAAAAAAAAAAATTTTGAATTTACTTACTTGTAGCCAGAGTTAGAGACGGTCGGATACTTATGACCGCTACTGTAATAATGCTATCAATAATCTTACCAAACAAATAGAATAATTATTCTTAAACTATGCAACCCTTTCTATTACATTGTCTGCACAACTTGAAGGAAAACCTGAAAGAAAAAAGCCAAAAGATGATAGAAATTTTATGAAAGTTTAGGATATAAAAGCTTGGGATAAAAAGGATGTTATTTGTTACTATTGTCAAGAGAAAGGACATTATTCAAAAGAATGTATGTCTGAAAAACCAGTATATTGAAGAAAATCTGATAAAAGAGAAGCTAGCTATGTTGGAGTTTTTATTAATAGCGAAGAAGAAGAAGAAGTTAAAGAAGTAGAGAAGGAAGAATTCTATGCTCTCTCATGAAACAAACCTTATACCACCAATAGAAAAACTGCTCAACAATTGGAAGCAAAAAGGAAAAAACAATCTGAATCCAGAAGAGAATTAAACTTGAGAAGCAAAAAACCTATTGATGAATTTATAGAAGTAGAAACCCACAAATTGTTACTTCTACCCAAAAGAAGAAAGTCAAATGAGAACCATCTCAAATTGATCAAATGCCTTTCTATAATATTATGCAAGATTTATTGCAAATGCCTTCTTCTGCAAAAATTGGCTAGCTTTTACAATATCCAAATCAAAAATGTAACCTTGCTCAAGGGTTGAGGAAACCAAAAATTCAAGAAACAAATTATGCTAACTAAAAAAGTGAAGAAGAAAAGGAAGACAAATCTACAGCTGTTCGTTGTTATATTAGAATTAAAGGAAATCCCGTTGTTGCTATCCTATATTCTAAAACTGCTGTCAGTATTATTACCAGAAAATTAATGAAGAAAGTAGGATTGTCTATCAATGAACAATCTAATACTATCGTAATCACTGCTAATAGAGAAAGGACTAGAGCATTAGGACAAGTTAAAGAGCACAAATTGCTATTCAAAACCTATTAATTCCTATCTCTTTGCAAGTTATCGACTCTCAAGATGAAACTCTACTTTTAGGAACGGATTGGTTTAGAAAAACTTATGCTAGCCTTGATTTTGAAACTAACCAGATTAGGTGAGGATATTTAGCAAAAACAATCACAGTTCCTGTGACTTTTAGTGCAAATGAAGCTTCTGTTAGTTATCCTACTACTCAAGATCAATAAGATGACAAATTAGAACAAGTTTTAGATGACTATGAGGAAGAAGAACTTAGCGAAATTGAAGCTTATATGGCAGATAGTCAAAAAGAATATGAGGAGAAAACTGACCTTTTACCTCTCGACTACAATCCTTAGAATGAAAAAAATCCTGTCTATTTAACTCTTACATTTAAAGAAGAATTTGAGGCTAATCCAGCAGTATTTCTTGCCGAAACTTCTAAAGAAAATATTTGGAAAATTAAAGATAACCTTCAGGTTGGATCTTTTGATAACAAACAACAAACGTTTTTCAAAAATTAATTGATGATTATAAAGATATCTGTGCTTTAAGCCAAACAAAAATTGGGTAAACTAGTTTGGTAAAACATAATATTTTGACCAATAATCATAATTCAGTTACTACAGAAGCTTATAAATGCAAGGACCTAATAAAACTTAATTTTTTCAAGAATGAAATCAAGCGTATGGAAGAAAATGGAATTATCAGGAAGTCATTAAGTCTCTGGGCTTCTCCTGTAGTTATAGTAGCAAAGAAAACTGGAGATAAACGAATCTGTATTGATTACAGAAAGTTAAATTCTATTTCTAAAAGTGATGCATATCTTCTATCGAGAATTGATGATTTATTAGAGAAATTCAGAGGAGCAAATTAGTTTTCTATACTTGACTTTGCTAGTGGTTATTGGCAGATAGAAATGAGTGAAAATGATAAAGAAAAAACTGCTTTTATTTCTCAGTTTGGTCTATACAAATTCAATGTTATGCCCTTTGAACTAAAGAATGTTTCAGCAACCTTTTAAAGATTAATGAATCATATTCTTCAAGAATTCTTATACGAATTCATTGCTGTCTATTTGGATGATATTATTACTTACTCAATAACTTATGAGAATCATATTCAACATTTGAGAAAAGTATTTCAAGTGATCAAGCAAGCGAATTTAATGATCAAGCTTAAAAAGTATCATTTTTACCTACCTAATATAACGTACTTAGGACATGTAGTTAGAAGGAATGGATTATAACTTAATCCTGCAAAAATTGATAAAGTTAAAAGCTTTCTGATTCCAGTTAACCTAACAAGTTTAAGGTCTGCACTAGGATTATTCTCATATTATTGACGATTTGTTTCAGGATTTTCAAAAATTATCAAACCTTTAACCCAATTGTTGAAAAGGAAGAATTGTTCTCATAGACAGATGCTTAACAAAAAGCTTTTGATATTTTAAAGGAGAAATTAATTACTACACCCATTTTGCAGTATCCAAATTTTAATAAACTATTTATCTTATATACTGATGCTTTTGGAAATAGCTTAGGAGCTGTTCTCTCCCAAAAGTTAGAAAATGGGCTCGATTGTGTGGTAGCATATGTTAGTAGAAGTATGAATAAAGCTGAGCAAAATTATGGAATAACTGATCAAAAATGCCTTGCAGTTGTATAGGCTGTGAAATACTTTCACCATTATTTAAACTTACAACCTTTTACTGTTATTACTGACCATTCAGCTCTTAAATAGTTACAAACATAAAAAATTTCTAAAGAAAGGAGAATACAATAGATTATGAAACTTCAACAATATGATTTTGAAATTAAGCATAAGCCTGAGAAGCTAAATGCTAATGCTGGTACCCTCTTACAAATTAATACTGACCAAAAATACAAAGATAATACATGTGAAATTTTAATGGTAACTACTGAGGAAGTTAAAGAATCAGAGGACGAATAGCATATTTCTCCTGACCATAACTCTATTAAAGATAATGAAGAAACATGGTTTGAGAAAAAATTATTTTAACAATTTTCCAACGTATCCTTAATTACTACAGTTAGATATGAAAGTCCAAAAGATGAAATGGAAGATATATATCATGAAAATATTAAAATTAAATCAGTCATAGCTAACCAACCTATTACCAATGAAGGGTCTTAATGTACTTTTGCCTGTGATACTGAGAATCATCATATTCATACTTACTGTAAAGTGTGTAAAAAGAATCTACCTTATGGTACAATTATTCATGACTGTATTATAGAATATGAAAGAGAAAAAATTCATCCTTATATGAAACTAACTTATCTAATTAATGACATATAATAGGAAGAACCAGTTCTAGTTCAACAAGAAAATGCATACTTTCAACTTTATGAAATATTAGATATTATTCCCCCATCTTCTTATTAATCTCCTACCCACCTTAACATTTATTAAATATATTTATTTTGCAGTATGACAAACAGCTCAAAATGAATATAATACAATATAATCACCTTTTTTAATTATTTACAAAACCAAACTTTACCAGATGATTTAATACTAACTCAGCAACAAAAATTAGTTAAATAATCTAGATATTTCAAAATTAAAAATAATTATTTGTATAAACATGTTCGCCAAAAGCTTCTCAGAATTATTTGATCACATGAAATAGAAGCTGTACTTTATATGATGCATAATAATCCAACTGCTAGACATTTTGCAGTAGATATAATGTTTGATAAAATCAAAGAACGATACTATTGGCCACAATTATATGAAAATATTAGAGAATATGTTTATTCTTGCAATAGCTATCAGAGAAGAGGAAAACCAAAGAAATACGAAGAGCTATACCCTATATCAGTTCAAGCACCTTTTTACCAAATTGGTATAGATTTTGTTAGACCTTTACTTATAACATCAAATGGAAATAAACATATTATTGTAGCTGTCAACTATTTTACTAAATGGCCTGAAGCTAAAGCTGTTCCTAAAGCTACTGCGGAATAGGTTATCTTATTTATTTATGAATACATAATCTGTCATTATAGATACCCTGCAAAATCCTTTCTGATAAAGGAACCCATTTTAATAATCAAATGATTAAAGAGTTAATGGATAAGTTTAAAATCAAATATCTACTATCTACACCTTACCACCCCCAAACAAATGGTTAGTAGAACGTTTTAACCGTACTTTATATGAATCTTTAGCAAAAACAGCACAAGATCTAGACAATTAGAATCTACAAATTGCACTAACCTTGTTTACATATCGTATAAGCAAACACTCTGTCACAAAAATATCTCCTTTTTATCTTGTATATAGGAGAAATGCAATATTATTCCTGGACGATTTTGACGATCAAAATGTCACATTATCTAAACATTTACAAAACCTGGTTGATCAATTACCACAAATTAGAGAAATTATAAGAAATCGTATTGTAATAGCATAACAAAAACAAAAGAATCGTCATGATAGACAAATTAATCATCTTTATCAATTTGAGATTAGACATAAAATCCTTTACTATGATGCGGCTAAAGATAAGCAATGGTCTGGTAAACTAAATCCAAAGTGGAAAGGGCTTATTACATCCATCAAGTTTTAATGAATGAATCATATAAGATAAGAAATATAGATAGAAGAGTGTTACGTATACCTGTAAATAGAAATCTATTAAAGTCTTATCATGATCGCTAAAATTGGAAGCCTCAGATTGTTATATAAAGGATTGAGTTCCTTTGAAAATTTCTCAAAATTTTCCAATATGACGACTCTATTTCAAGAAGTTAAAGATGACTTAATGGCTGTTAACCTAGTGGATACCAATATTCCTTCACCTTACATGAAGATTGACTCAACTGCACAAAAAGTCAAAACTACTTATAGAGCTTTATTACAAGCTACCAGGTTGAAAATAGAGTATTAGCTTTAGCTAATGCATTTTATCTTGGACAATTAATGGAGACAGAAACTTTAAGTCTAGCTGAACAGACTCAATTTAGGAACCAAATGACCCTATACTATTGGCAGGCTTCAAAAAGAACTTACTATCTTTTTAAAACTCTGGGAATCACACAAATTGGACATACTAGGAAAATAACTCTTAGAACGATTTATAATCTCAAATCTCAGGAGTTCAAGGACTTGGTTGATGAAATTTATGAAATTTTTGCAGGAGCTGCAAATTTAGAGGAGAAAATTGATACCATGTAAAGTCAATCTTATTGCGTTACAAAGATTGATGAATGATCAATATTATTAACATCATTAGCATTTTTAACTTAGTTAATATTTTTATTTTATTTATTTTATTTATATATTATATTATTATCATCATTAAATTATAATTTATCTTTTATATTTATTTTATCATTATAAAATAGCTTAGCATTAGTTAGCAATTTCTTATAATTATATTTTTGTATAAATAGAATAGAAATTTGTTCTTGTAAAAGGGTAGAGATAACAGTGATAACTCAATAGTTCAAGTTTAAGACTTAGAATCCAAGGTTAAGGATTACTAAAAATACAAATTTCTACAATAAAGAAATTTCTTTTTAAACTACACATATTAAAATCTTTTAACGTGTCAATTGTGTTTATCATGATTACAAGTTGTTAAAGTTATTTACTCATCTAAAAGTATAAACCTAAGGTTGATTGTGATAAGACTTATTACACAATAACTTAGTAGTTTCTCGCACATTACTCCCTGTTATTAAGTCATAGTTACCGTAAGTTTGATGGTTAAGCATAGGGTTAATACTGTTATAATATGTATAGTAAAGTTTTAGATATTTGAAGGATAATAATTTATATTAATAATCTTAAAGTCTTATTCATGTCAATAGAATTATCAATATAAATCATTACAATCAATATATATATTTATATGGAAGAGCAATAATGATAAATTAGATTTTATATTCCGAGTTTAACTAATTAAAGTTATAAGGTAAAAGGTTAGTTTTATTAATTAGAGAAATTGGAATCAACATCATTCAATAATTACAATAAGCTCTTGTTTGTGAACTTACAAAATTAAAGAGTAAATAATAAACTAAACTATTATAAAGCTGTATTAAAATAACTATTTAATAGCTAACTAAAATTAATTGTAAAATTAACTAAAACTAACTGTCAAAAATATATGAGATTCTTATCCTATTTATATAAAACTTTGAATCTAATTCTATTACTAAATCAAGATAAAATATAACTTAATAAACTATAAAAATATTGTAAATATTATTAACTTAATTAATAAGTTTAACCAAGTAAACCATTTTAACTATATTAATATATTTAACTTTATTAATGATGTATCGTTATTTTTATTATTATGATTATTTCTGTTATTTTTATA